CTCATCCTAATTTTCGGCCTTGATGTAACAACATTCATAATTAAAGGGGACCTTGTACGAAAAGTCAGCACGGATAGTGCGCGCAACATGATTGCAGCGTCCAGGCCACACACACACACACACCACACAACACACACACACACACACACACACACACACACACACACACACACACACACACAACACACACACACACACACACACACACACACACACACACACACACACACCCACACACACACACACAACACACACACACACACACACACACACACACACACCACACACACACACACACACACACACACACACACACACACACACACACACACACACACACACACACACCACACACACACACACACACACACACACACACACACACACACACACACACACACACACACACACACACACGTCAAGCTACCCCACAGCACCCCCAAAAAAGAAAATCTCTGGCGCCGCCACTGGCCGCGGCACATGACGGTTTTGTGTGCCCTTGTGTGAAAATCATATGCCCATTTGTTCTGGCGGCGGCCCAAGAGCATCCCATAGCATAGTCCGGCAGTGGCTCAGTCAGTAGGGGCTTGGACTGGGAGCTGTAGGGTCGCTGGTTCAAGTCCCCGACTAAAATATGGAGTGTGGACTGCTACTTGGAGAGGTCCCAGTTCACCTCCTGCCCTGCCGTGGTGGCCTTGAGCAAGGCACCGGACACCCCCCTTCCCCCCACACTGCAATTGCTCCCCGGGCGCTGTACAATAGCTGCCCACTGCTCCTAGTACTAGACTCCCGGTACTAGGATGGGTTAAAAGCAGAGAACAAATGTCACTGTGTGTGCTGTGTGCTCTGCATGTGTGACCATTAAAGAGGGTTTCATCCCTCCCAATTCTAATTCTATTATAGTGATCATGTTGCTAAAAACATCCCAGTGCGGACTTGCAGGCCATAGAAAAACAGTTTACAGACAGGGGTGGCATCCTTCAAATCTACACAGCTTGTAGAACATCTCCTATAACATCCTGGATACATAGAGTAAGTCATCTGGCCATTACAAAATAATTGAAAGCCCTTCCAAAGATCAACTCGCCATTGCTGCCTTTAAGCTGTAGAACTGCTTTAATGGTGCTTGTTTTGAGATGTGTTATAGTCTTCAGCTTGAGGCCATTGTAACAATGTAATGTTTCATTTATTCAAAACAATTTTCAATAGATCACAACTCAATTCTTTCATTAATTGCAAGAAAACAAAAGCTGGTAACACTGGTTTTCTCTGTCAAATGTTCTCTGCTCTTCTTTGGCTGAGAATAAATGACTCCATTATAAAACTGGCTCAGTAAGTCACACTGTCCCTTGTGAGCTACGGCATGTCTCCAAAACTAAGACATTACTGGATTACAAAGCCTTACTAGAGAATGCAAGTCTGGGAGGTGTCTACGGAAATGCTACAGTTGATCCACTGGATGTTGGAATATTGCAGAAAATAGACTCTGTGGCACACAAAGGTTTATGATCCATACACGTTATGTTGATAAGGATAATCACCACATATTAAAACAATGTCAGCAACTGCCGTTTTTAGGACACGCAAAGGTTTTAGACCTTAACTAGTTGGGTTTTTCACTGACATATTTTATGTCGCAGAACCAATAGTGAACATTTGGTAAGCTTGTTATTAAACAAATAACTTATTTCAGGCATAAAACCAAAACTCATCCCTAAAACAATTTACTTACCCGAAAGTGCTAAAATTCTACCTCATTTCCTGGTTTAGGACTCATTCTTGCACCACTCTTAGAGACTGGGCTTGGAAAACCAGAGGTTCGCCCGTTCAAGTCCCTGAATGGACACCGTGAGGATTGGTTCATCGACAGGTGCCGGTTCACCTACTGGGAACCTCTGGGGTGCCCTTGAGCAAAGCATCGGACCCCCATACTGCTCTCTGGGCACTGTATATAAAATGGCTGCTCCTATTACTAGGTCGGGTTAAAAGTCTGAATTTTGCTGTGTGTTTGGTTCTGTGTTTATACTTGAGAAGATTAAAGCTAGATTTAATTTGAATCCTTCATTTCCATGTATAAAGGGGGGGAACAAATATGTGTGTTTGTATTCCTTTTTAAGGAGAGCAATTCATGTATTTAAATATAATGTATTCATACTGCATTATACAACGTGGTACCTAATGGAAGGGTACAAAGACATGAGTTTTATGCTATCATTCCACACTACCTGTCTGTGATGGGTACATCCACTGCTAAGAAGAGTCCACCAGCTTCATTTCAAATTAACCATACCTGCAGCCTGCTGGCCCCTATATCCCTCTCATCAAAGAGGGTTTTATACCGGCCTGTCTGCTGGCTGTGCTGGAGCCGCAGACAAGATGTGAGTGGGCGAAACAAGCACCGGGGCAGAGGCTACATCTTCTCCCAAGCAGAAAGAAAAAGACACCAGAAGCAGAGGTTTCCACATGAGAGAAGAAGGGGGGCTTTGTCTTTGTGTGAGTCCATTTGTTCAACGGCTCTCCTCATTAATGTCACTCAATGAGAGGGTCCTGGTTGGCTGGCTGCAGCTCCCCCTTCCACTGGCTCTAGTGATGCTGCTCTAACACTGAAAACCACAGTGTGACCCTGCAGCAGTGCTGAGATCAGTGAGGCAGGACATGTCTATGAAAAGCTTTACAGAACTAAGGATGACCACTGGCACTAGTTCTCTCTGCACACTGAATCCACGTGGTGCAAGAAATAAAACAGCCACTAGTGTTGTCAGAACTGCAGTAGAAATCTGTTCATTCCAAACACATTTTCTGTTGTCCCCCTCAGCGACAGGATTTGATTAGTTGTGCGGCATGAAGGCATCTACGTGACCTCTATCACGTTTCCCAAATGTTGCCATCGAGTTGATATTCAGTATTGGTTCTCGTGACGTCCCTTCTAGGATTTGACCAAATGAACACATAGCATATTTGCTTTGAGATTAATCCCACTACATATCCTAAAGTTTGGATAAAAGCATCAGCTATAAAAAAGCCCATGTATCCCATTAAACAGGTTATAAAGTATGCAAAACAGCCAAAAGACTGCCAACAACCCAAGCCTACACACACAAACAGCTCCAAGGTGTGTGAGCTATTATGAGGGACAATTCCAAACAAATCCCTTCACCCTGTCCCAATTCCACTCTTTTTAGAGTGTTTGCATGGAGGTCCGCCACAGGTGGTCCGATTGGCTGTTCAGCTTAGCGAATCAGTGCATGAGAAACGAAACGGAAGTGAGGGACCCAAACAAACTATTAAGAAGGCAAATCTGAGATTTCATTTAACTCCAGCTCTCTACACAGGTTCAGGAAAGCCCCATGAGCTTCTCGCTGTAGAGTGAAAATGGAACGCACACGCTATTTGTTGTTTGTTTATATCACGCAGTCTGTTCTTCTTCTCTCGGTGTATCACGCAGTCTGTCTTCCGGTTGTTGCCTCTTTTGAATGACGAATACACACTACCGACGCCTGCTGGTAAGAAGAGTTATTGCCACTCACGCATGCGCAGTTCGTACGTGCTACTTGGCTGTCGGCTGGAGTCTTTGCGGTGTGTTCCAGTGCGAAACATGGCCAAGGAGACGTGAGGAGACGTGAGGCGACGTGAGGCAACGTGAGGCAACGTTCCGTCGAGACGTGTTCTTTGGTGTTCTTTTGGTGTCAGTTTGGTGTGTAATGACCTTTAGGGTTAGGGTTCTCACTCCCCACATTAGTTGGTTGCATACCAACCAAGGGAGTTATAAGACCCTCCAACAGCAAGTCTGTATCGGCCCCGACTCAACCAGCTGCCCTAACTGACCAGATGCAAGGCTGTAAGTTTCCCGAATGTGAACAAATAGTTCCATGCAAACATCTACAAGCAAACATTAAGGTTACATTGTGGTTTTTTTACCTATAGGATCCTATAAACCTTTCTCTAGAAAATGGTAGATGTGTGCATTTGATTGTTAAGTTTTGTATATTTCCCAGAACCATTGCAAAAACCAAACAGCTCTATAACATCAGATCTAGAAACAAGAAAAGGTTTATTAAAAAAAAGGAAACACCACTAAAGATGTTTTAGTCCGAGAGATGTTGATTTGCAACTGTGGTTGAAAACAATTTCAACCACAGGTAGAAATGATATATAACCCCCCACCGTTGTCAGTCCTGCTGCAACAAGACACACTCTCTCTGAAGGCAGGGAAAGTCCTGCTGGTTTTCTGCTCTAATGAGATTGTCCGAAGACAACTGCAGGGCCTGTTTAACCTTCAGCCACCCTCCACTTCACAGCTTCTGGCTGCACAGCCGAGCAGTCTGCAGCTGGAGTGTATTGTTGTGAATGTCCTTGAGTCAATTTCATGTTTATTTGAATAATAAATGCAAAGGCTGCCCTCCCTCACCACCCGAAACAACTCACGCAAGAGAGAAATATCAAAGCTTTGTTCAAATATGCACGATATGGTGAATACAAAACCTTTGTTGTTTTCGTGCTTCCACGCTGTCACAACAGTCACTAACAATGCTGCTCAAACTGGCAGCTTTCACCTAAACAAGTGGCAGAGTAGCAAAAAAACTGCTACAGTAACACAACCTTCACTGTAAAACCTCAACTACCAAAGTGACAACAGCCTTCTCCGTGTGATAAAACATTCAGCAATCAATCGCACTGTGTCCTTGGGGGGGCAAAACAAGTGGATTTGAAATGTGCTCATGCATTACAAACACATCAAATTAAACTGTCACATCTCTACAGTTCCCTGTGTTTCAGCTCAAGGAAACGGAAGGCACTTTTTTACCAAAACTCAAAATGTTCTCTGTACCTTTATTTTTTTTCTATTCAGATTGTGTGTATGCTGTAATACATTAACCATTCTTCGTGTCTGGAAATTGATACATCCAAACCACCAAAACACCGTATTGCGACAGCAAAGACACTTTCAGAATAGGTGACAACACACCTCTTTATAGCATAAATATTGAAATTGCTCTTACCTTGGGCTGAGCACGTCTAGGAAAGGCAACTTTAGGATCGATCTGCAGAAAGGAAAGCAAATAACGATAAATCAGCAAATGAAGACACAGAGAAAATTAGCGAAGGAAAGCAATAGTCCAGAGAAAAAGATAATGTATGTATAACCAGCATGTACAACCCTTAAAATGTGCATCATATCAAATTGCGTACGTACACAGAAGAGATTTACAGGAAGTGTCCAGTATTGTGTTAGCGTACTGTTTAGTCTTGCTTATTGAAGCTAAAGTGAGGCAAGGAATGCCCCCAGCTCAGTTTCACAGTTTGAAACCACACACTACTCTGGTAGACCACCACAGAAGAAGATCAACTTATGTTACTTCTCCACTTCGGTTTAGTTAATCACTGCTCCCATTAAAGATGGCTAATAACACTTAGAGCTACTAGCAATTTTGCTTCGCCCAATCAAAGGACCATTCCACATCAAATCTAATCTCTTCTTAAGTGGAGGGGGGTCAATAAAGCTGCAGTGATTTACAAATTACACCGACAAAGAGCTAATTAACATGGCGTTCAGGCTGCCTGCGAACTTATTGAAAGACAAGTCCTTTTCAACAAGGGAAAAATAAAAACTGCTGGCACAAGAACGAAGGATCCCAATGTTAAGCAAAGGCATGTTATGTAGGTATCACAAAACCAAACAAACAAGTGGTAAGCCTTCAAATTACAGCCAGGGATGACAAAAAAGTTCAAACAGATAAGAGGGCCTCCTTTTCAAAATGAATACTCTAGTTCTTCTGCTGTTGGTTGATAGATATTCATTTTAATAAACTTGGTAATTATTATTTGAAGTCGGCCAGTTAAACACAGCCTTTTTTTTTATGTGTCGGCTCGCTGGTCTTAAATATGCAATGAAAAAGCACCAGCGGAAGAAGCAACCACATCTGCCTCACTGAGGGGGGTGTCTGAGCCAACTTTACTGAAACTTTCGTTTTTACGTTAGCTAGCTCCAGCAAAAAAAAAATTAAGCAATACGACGGTGAATTTAAGCTACCTCTATCGGGTTCATATAAACAATTTCCCAATTTGGGATCAATAAAGTACGATCTATCTATCTATCTATCTATGTATTGTTATGGCTTTGATAGAAGCAAGTGCCTCCCCATCCATTGACCTCGCCACACGTCACTGATGGAAACGATTGGTATGAACACAAGCCATTCAAATTGTCATGAACAAAGAGCGAGCTGTGTTAGATCACATGACTGCTCGGGCTTCTTTCTCTCAGTCTTTGACGGAAGAGCAAATGGAGGTTGGTTGAGGTGGGTGGACTGAGACTTAAGAGGAAGAGGGTGAATACCTGCAACCATAGCATGTGACTGTGACACTTTAAAGCATCTTCTTGGCAGCAGTCTGCTCACTCCACCCATTAAGAGATTGAACACACACCAGCTAAGACACTTCACTGATCTCATCAAACACACAAGTGAAGAAGAACAGACATGGCCATGGAAAATACTCCCTGCTCATTGGACGACAGTGTTGTGTTCAATTCATATAAGAGTTTACTAAAACTGCTGAGGGGTGTGCTTTTATCTCCTTACACGTCCTCCTTTTAGACTGAGCAGTAGAGCCAATTCCAGGGTTCATACACTTTTTCACCAATGATTTTCAATGACTTTTCCATGACTTCTCCATGACCTTTACCTAATTTTCCATGACCAAAAAAATTACTCTTTCTCAGCGGTACCACATGGAACAGGAAAATAAGGTCTGCATATGAAACATGTTATGCCTATCTAAAACAAATCCAATAGTAGGCTTACTAGCTTCTACAGGCTAAAGCAACTCAAATCTCTCACCAGCAAAATACCTCGACAGTTAAATGCCATTTTATGTTTCATTACTATACAATACAATATTTATTATTATTATTATTATTATAGTATTACTATTTTGGCGATTAGATCAAATATAAATTATATTTGATGCAATTTTTGTTACATTTCCATGACTTTTCCAAAACTTTGGGAAAGATATTGTTTTCCATAACTTTTCCAGGGCCTGGAATTAGCATTTTGAATTTCCATGACTTTTCCAGGTTTTTAATGACCGTAAGAACCCTGCAATTCAAACAAAGTGTGAGAGCAAGATCTTCCGCTTGGTGCAAAAACTAACAAAAGAAACAGTGGCCAAATAAAATAGATAAAAGACAGGGGGGCAGAGCCAGTCTGTCTTATAAAAGCAATGACACGTCATGTACCAAGAGTTCTGTGACCACAGCAGTGTGTAATGTTCAGAGCTGTGTCTCGGGCCTCATTTGGCTCCAATAAATCTGATTTGCTCTCAGGAAAGAGCTGTGGCTCGGTTAAGTATTGAATAGAGCAGAAAATGTGATACTAATGTTTTCATTTCATTTAAACAAACTAAAGAGAAAATGTAAGGGGAATCAAGTTGTATGGCTTTACTATTGTTTACTAGATCAAGCATTCACACAAGGCAAAAAACAAGAGTTCTGTTCAGTCACTGAGCATGAACATGCACTCAAACACCACCAACCTCCCCCACCACGGCTGTCGTTCTGCCCGCACCAATCGATCAAACCATCAATAAACAGCAAACCACCGTCAATAACATCAATTCACACTCACAACATGAAAAAAACTACCAAGTTATTGTAAATTACTCCAATAACTCACAGTGTGAGTATGTTTGGACAGAAGAAGAAGACAGTAACGTGGCACTGACTACACCTTGAGAGACAACATCATGATCAATAGGACCTAAGTATTATTGTCCTTTTAAAATGTAGGATTGCACTTTGAAATGTTCCAGCTACACACAAAGAAATTATATAAAAAACATATTCAAAATATAAATTACAATAGAATATAAGCAATAAAGTTGGCAAAAATATGATTACACAAAAAAAGGGAAACTCCGCTTATTTATCTTCCTCTGATGAAACCTTATTTATCTATAGGGGGGAAAAGGAAAAGAACAAAAACTGTGACTGGAAGAAATGTGACTAACCAAGCTGTTGTTTCCGAACAATGGACAGAGCTGTTTGTTGTGCTGGCGCTGTCCGTGGTACTGAAATCCAACACCACGTCACTTAGTTTGGAAATGTATGGTCATCCCCAAAATAAATACGAACAAAATACTTTTGTTACCTATCATATCAATAGAACATTTGTATAAAAGTAGTAATGTGGGTATTGCATAAAGTAGTGGTAAAGTAATGTGCAAAACCAGCTTAACTGTCCCACAGACTGAGGAAATAAGCTGCTCTTTAGAATGGGGGTACGACAGCAGGAACTTCTGTATCTCCTTCCACTGCGGGGGAAATACTTTTTTTTTTCCTGCACTGTCTTACTTGAACCTGAATTTTCTTTTTAATATTATTTTTATTTAATCCTAAAATGGAGCATCTGTCATGAAGAAATCCAATTTCTCGCAGAATAAATCGCATTTATAATATATTACACCTCAATAGTTACTTCTTTGATACAGTTAGCATTTCATGCATTTATGATACATTCACCAGAAATAAATCTTAGCGAGCGAAAATCCATAGTAATTGTCTTCCTTAACTTTTTATGTTTATAAAAAGATCTATTTCATATTTATCTTTTTATTGCACTTTTTTTATTTATTTCATTCTATAATGAAGTAAGGCTCCTATGGGATAAACAAATATTCAGACTACTTTTCCTTAAGAAAAACAGCTGTGCACCCTGGTAGAGCAAGTCCTTAATGCAACGACCTGTGTTCCAGTTGTGTGGCCCTTTGCTGCCTGTCCTTCCCCTTTATTTCCTGCCTTCCATTCGATGTGTTTTCTCTTTTTACCTAAAATCAACAATCACCCCCCCACCATGAAGTCTCATCATTGTTTGTTACCATCCGATAAGTAGTAGGTAAATCCACAAAATGTAACAACATCCATGTCCAAGTGTGCAGTGGTGGGTGAAAACCATACACAGCAGGGGGCTGAGAACAAAGCCCTGGGGGACTCCGATTTAACACAAGGGTAAAGGAGCCTTTGGTTTGTGAGGAAGTCCAATAGTCAGCTGCAAAGTGTGCAACTTAAACCCGGGCGCTAAATTAAAGTGGACCTATTATGCTATTTGAAAAATATATTGTAGGGCCATACCTATACAAAACATGTCTGTGAAGTTTTTTGCTTAAAATACCAAACAGATCACCCATTGCAGCCATGCCTCATACTGCTCATACCCCTCTATTACAGTCCTGTTCCAAACAGGCTGATTCTGCTTTAAATGGAACGGCTGCTGCTAGCCACGCCCCTTTGTAGCGTCACGCAGCTGTCCCCTGCTAGAGAGATTTCTACCGGGAGAAACTCAGCTAAACGCTGCGGTGATTAAATGCCATATTATGTTCCCAACCACTTCAAGCTTTATTTCTGAAACAGTATGGAGCTCAAACCTTTCTCTCTCGCAGAGAAAGATGTGGGTACGGAGGAAAAGAGAGAGGGTTTTGTTTTCTGACACTTTGTGAGTTCCCCGACACAGGGACACATATTTATGTATAAAACACATCAAAAAGTGCATTTTGCATAATAGGTCCCCTTTAAATCAGTTTCATGGGGAGAATGTGTTAAATGCACTATAAAACCTCATTGTATATTTTTGTACAATGAAAATAAAGGCTTTCTATTCTATTGTAAATGCTGAGCAGATATCAATAATCAGCTATTTGATGTAGGTGTTGTTATTGTCAAGATCCTCTGAATCCTCTGAGCCACAGCCGCCCTGTGATATGATACTGGTAATGAAACTACCTGGTTGGCATGTTTTTAGTACACGCCAGTGTGGTTATCAGGCTCGTGAGATATATAACCGTTCATACAAGGAGGGCTCTCCAGCCACAATCAATCTTAATAAAGAAAAAAAAAGAAAAAGAAACTATGGAATAAGTAAAAAATGTTGCATTTATATTTTAGTCATGTCAGTAATAAAGACCTCAATTCAACACATTATTTAAAAAATAAATAAATGTAGTTAAAGATTGTTTTGTTTATATTAAAATCTATATTCACATATATTTACATATACTGTGAGATTCTTTGCACATATAGTAATGGACCCGAGTTCTACTCCAGCCATTCAAGATTTGGCACCTAGAGTGAAGTAATAAAGTACATTAAATTCAATCTTCAGCCCAATTTCGGTTATACTGTGCATCAGTGTTGACAAACGTCAGATAATAAATAATAAGAAATGTCATTACAGAATTATCAAAAATATGTCTTCATTACAGAGTTCACCCACTAGAGAGTGCTAACATGTCATGTGTCTGAGTCTTTTAATAAGCACATTTTAAGGAAATGTATCATGTACTGAGCGGGGCATTTTACAGGGGATTTGAAAAAAGGACTCCAGAAGAAAAGTAATATGATGTTAACAATGGTTTCAATTAAAGCTGACCACTTAATCAACTCGAGAATATGCACTAAATAGATGTCAGATGTCAAGCGTCAGACCTTTGCAGCCCAGAAGAGTCCTGCTCTCATCCTTCATTTCTCCACTTTCAACATGACACAACCCATTACAGTCCAATACGGCTGCAGCTCATACCACAGGGCTTATTTCGATACCTGTGTTAAAGCCTCAGTAAATCAGCTGTCAAAGCTTTCTCAACAGTCACCCAGACTGACCTACTTTGTTCAACAGGCCCTGCTCACGCACAAATCACCTTTGTCCCACTGTGTTCCACAACACATGATCCATCCAGATATAGAGTGGTGCAGGAATGAGTCGTAAAACCAGGAAATAAGTTAGCATTTTCCCACTGCCTGTTCCCTTGTCTCGAAGTCAACGTGATTTGTATGTGTCTTCGGTAAGATGCCTAAAATACCAAAATAAAATACCGTAAACCAACTACGTTTTGCTGCTGTCAAACTTTAAATCTGTTCACTTCACTCCTGCCATCAGCTGTTATTTCAGGTGTTATTGCTGCGACCCCCTCCCCAGTCATCACACCAAGGACACAGGTCGAGCTCATCAGAAGACCTCTACTCATCAAATCCAGATTTTCAGCCTTCAATTCCTCCCATCGTCATCACCACTAGTGTCTAGACCCTATGGGAGTGTGGGGGGCTGGTGGGGTTATATTTTCTACTTACAGCTGCACCTCTCTCTTAACATGTACAAAATCACGATGGGGTCTAATAACCAAAGACTATTCGCATTTCACCATGTGCAAATGACGATAGATATTCTTTAGTCCAAAAAAAAGAATACATCTCTCCTGATTCAAACAGGGAAGACCAGACCAACCCTGGGCAAATAGAAATGTCTCCAGACAAAGACTGAATTCAAGCACCCCAACACTGGTTTCATATATTGTGATCTAAACCAAAGGAAAATGTGAAACATTTATTAAGAGATTTTTAAATGTTCTTCTTTTTCTTACTCAAAGCCATTTTAGTCAGCTTTCAAAACACATACATACAGACACATTAAGGGTACCACCTGCTCAGGGAAACCGCATTCACACACAGTAGCTTAAGAATCTTGCCGAAGCACAATATGACAAGTTGACTGCATGGGGATCAAACCACCGACATTCCAATTGGAGGAAGATCATGTAACCCCTGAGCCACAGCTACCAATTAACTGAATCAAAACCTAGTGAGACTTTGCGTTCTACTGGCCATGAAAGACTGGAAACCCTTCAGCAAATGAAAGAGCAGGATAAAGTGTATGGGGGTGTGTGTGTGTGTGTGTGTGTGTAGATGCGGCAGACAGACAGGTCTCAGTTGGTTTGGTTTCCTATGCTTACTTTTAATACTTGTAAATAAAACTTTTGGCACGTAATTTCATTTCCTCATTGTAGCGACCAGAGAGGGGGGGGGGGGGAATATATCCAGTCTCTGATAGTGTTACGTTATTATGCTGCGAGTGCTCTCATACTTGTTTGAATCTGAAATTGTATATATATATATATATATATATATATTTCTATAAATATATATATATATATATACCTATATATATATATATATATATATATATATGTGTGTGTATGTCCGCATCTGTAGCCTGTTATTGTCTCATTATACCGCACTGTGAATGAATTCAAAGTAAATATATAAGTCATCATGAACACATCTGTCCATCAGACAGAGGGCTGCTGTGCCTCCTGTCATCATTAACGGACGTCTCTTTAAAATGACCGCTCAGAGGAGAGGATTTCTCATTTCTCTAACCGCCTGCTGCTTCCCCTCCTCTCTCCTTGGCTCCCCTCCTCGGCTCCTCCGCTCGCATCTCCTGTGGGCGGGACTAAGACACGAGGATAGGAGTCGAGGATAGGAGTCGAGGAGGGGAAATTAGTGAAATGAGAAAGGCCCCAGGTGATCTAAAAAAGGTGAACTTACCATTTTAGAATCTAACTCGTGGTGCGTCAGTGCCAAGACTTTATCTACGCTGGCAGCATCTGCAAAAGTGATGAAGCCAAAGCCCCTGTTGAGAAACGATACAACAGCACATGACATTTCTAACATTATATAAGTTATGCTTCACATTTATTTGTTGTCACATGTCGTGACAAATTCTCTAATCCCCAGTCTGAGGTATACCTGCCCCATGTATCCTCCAGTATTTACATATTTTATTTCCCTGTTTTATTTTCTTCACTTGTGTCGACATATTACGTGACATTTAAAGAGCAATGTATAAATGATTGTGGTCTCTGCCCACAGTTTAGGAGAGCCAATTGATTTTGAATTGTTTTTCACTTTGATTTCAAACCCAATTACCTTATGCATTACATTCACACATAAATAAGGGAATTGTTAGTATGAGAAAATGTTCTCCAAAGCTTCAATGTTAAACTGCACAACACTTTCATTCAAAAGTGAAATGACTGAATAGTATTCATAGGACTATAAGAGGTAACATAAATACAAATTATTGTTTTTACCTGGAACGTTTTGTCGTTGGGTCTCTCATCACCATACATTCTCGGATTTCCCCAAATTTACAAAAATAATCTCTAAGGCTATCTGTGGAAAAAAAAAAAGAGGGAGGTTAATCTCAAGGTGTTTTATTTACTTCCACGTTAGATAAAAAAAATGCATTCGTGTTGACAGCAGTGAAGGTGTCCTGTGTTAAGCAGGGGTCGAATGGAGGACTTGAAATCAAAATAACCTTGCGCCGTTAGCGCGCACACAAACACGGTTCTTACCTGGTGAAGTTTGCCAGCTGAGGCCACCGATAAACATTTTCCTGCCAAGGGAAAGGCGACAGAAGTCAATACATATATTCCAAATCGGCCATTGTGATGTTGAGCGAAGTTATTGACCGGTTAGAGAGACGTTCAAAAGCTGGGGACAAAAATAGAGGGAATGCAACAACGAGGCAGCCCGACAGCCGTCTTCAAAGCCGGGCTAGAAGCAGCCCTTTTTCCGTGGAGGACCAGGGTCATGCCAACTTCCATTCAAAACATCTGTCAGTTTAAACCTACCGCCGTATAGGCAGCGGTACATACCGGGTACAAACAAATGTTGAGTGGTCGTCTTACTGTAAGAACACAGTCTACAATTCGGCATATATGTACTACACTAAAAATAACTAAAAACGAAATCTTAGTTCAACTTTTAACTCGGGTTCGGCTGTTAGAGAATATTCACCTCCACCAAAACACAGCCTGGGCAAGGAGCACCGTGAACTAAATGCAATTTATTAAAATAAAATGAGTCCAAGGCGAGGGAATACTGGACTTAGCTTTACATTTGTTTGAAATGAACTCTTTTTAATTCGGTGTAATATTGCCATTAAGTAGGGCAGCGAATGACCCACACATTTCTAAGCGAAGTTTGGCATATGTTCCCTCCACACACGCACTAACTAACGCCACATATCGGGGTCAGCCAAGCGTTTACACTGCAAAAGGGGGCAGGCCCGTCTGAAAATATAACCAAACAAAGCTGTTGTTGACGGGACCCGGAAGATAGTGGAGCAAAATCAAGCTGCAGTTTTTTTTTTAAGAGTGACAATTCCCCTGTTTGTAATGACAGGCTTTAACCTACCCCGGGTCGTGCTGCGGTTCAGTCGGGCTTCCAGACGTGGCTTGGCTGCCGTCCCCTTCCATGTTTTGACCCAGCTACAGGCAGTGAGTGACGGATACACACAGGCGTTAGGGTCGGCGGATAGAGCGGAGCTACTGTGTCAGTGAGCCGGGAATGCAGCGCTCCGTCACACGTGGGATCAGTCGGGTCTATGGTCCCTCCTCCGCCGTCACCGACCAACCACACTGACGTCACTTTTCCACAACCCGCCCATATTAACTGCTTGTTCCGTGAATCCTGTCAGCTTTTCAATTAGCTGTCATGTAGCATTAAGGCAGTGGTTCTCAAACTTTTTCTGTCAGGCCCCCCCTTTGGAGAAAAAAAAAAGTCGGGCCCCCCCAACACAGTCACATAATGGGCCAAGTTAATTTATTAAATACGTCAATATGAACGTGTGCATTCCTTTGCTAGAACAGTGATAATAAAACAATGCTCCATAAGTCTGTGTGGTCAAGAAATAAATACATAATACAATTGTGCAATCCCTTTGCTAAAACAATAAGTTATAATACTTTGCCACTTTGCAATCTGTGCAAAAAAAGGAAAAGAAAGAAAATGCTGATATTTGGCAAGAAAGTGTGTCTTATCACAGCATTAGTGGCTGCAATGAGCCTGTTTTGCACTGCACATTTCTTCAAAACGGGGTTGCAGGCTCAGTGGCGGCGCCAGAGATTTCTTTTGGGGGTGCTGTGGGGTAGCTTGACGTTTCATAGAGGGTGCTCAAACATTTAGGGTTTCCCATTAATGTACCGGTCGCTACAGTTGAATTTTCTACTGCAACAATGCGGTGAGGTTCATGGCTGGTGAGGCACTGACTCTTTCAGAGTCAGATTTACAAATATTATAGCCTATTTTGACCTTAATCGAAATATTCTGTTATTTTCAAAAGCTTTTTTAGTCTGATGCTATGATTAATTTTAAACAGACCGATCAACAAAAGGATACCCAAAATCTAAATATTGGATTGTTCTTTCTAAGTAAGATCCCATTTTCATTACAGTTGTGGTCTTACCTTGACTTGAAGATGAATATAAGTCCATGCTATCCTTCTGGACAACAATCTCTATTACTGTTTTGTAAAAGTCCTCCTTATCTTCCTGTAGTTTCAAAAGTCTAGTTTGTTGTTTGCGGTAGAATAACAGTAGCAACAAGAACCTGTGGGCTCACGTGCGCCCCCTTCAGTGCGGCAGAGGTTATGGCTGCCTCTCCTGGTGCTTTTTTCATTGCCGTTGTACGATGAGAGCAGCGAGCCTAAATATCATATATACGTGAAATAAGTTATTTAGAGACTATGGATGGCGAGGATAAATGTAATAACACCCATTTGAAACAGAACTGTAAACAAATTTACTATTTCTTTATGGATATTTTACAAATCACTCTCCTTTTAAACTTTATTCTTTTTTTACTGTCATATATATTTCATACCTGTTTTTAATTTAGTTTTTATAACTATAATGATCATATAAACGTGTGCCTCGGAAATAATTGTTTACATTAATCGTGACCAAAACGTTTGAGACCCGGCCACTAGGTCGCTAGCACCAGAAGCTAACAACAATGATCTCCGGTACCGGTGCGCTCTCTCTCTCTCGCTCGCGCACGCACACAAAATGGCTCGTTCCACACACACACAGAGCCGAGCTTGAATGAAACACAGAGACCCAGACGCACTTGTACTGTACTGTATCGTATTATTTTCGAATCAATCATTTTTCTAATTATGATTTTGTTTTTTGTTTTTTTTTCAAAACCATTTTTCCTCCTGGTCTCTCGCGCCCCCCCTGTCATGTCTCTGCGCCCCCCACTTTGAGAAACACTGCATTAAGGGATGGGGTACTTGACTCACTCACTACATACAACTGTCATATCAGAATCAGAAATCCTTTATTCGTCCAATACCGGGAACAAACCATCAAAATAAGATGAGAGTTACATATTAAATAAAGAGGCAAGTACACGTTATCAAAAGAGAATAAGGAGAATGTTGGATGTTGAAATACACAGAGGTAGAAACACATTATGTAGAAACCAAGAGTGCTTGCAAGTTCTGTGTTATAGAAGAGCTGCAGCTTTTAGAAAATTTGTTTAGGAACAGAAGATCTTAAAAGAAGAATTCACAAGCTTTAGAGGCTGGTGTTTTGGTCAAGTGACCCGAACAACTTTGACAACTAACCATTAATAAATTGCATTAGCATGTCGCGCAACAAATCTTGGTGTGTTACAATTTCTAGAACAAACATTCAGCATTCAAGTAAACCCACCTAAAGAAATTTGTGTCGACAAAGAAAATGAATTAAACGTATAACTCTAGAACAAGGGTGTCCAAACTACGGCCCGGGGGCCATTTTTAATTGACCCGCAGCAAATTCAAGAAGTATAATGGAATTAACGCCCCCTCAAACTTGTGCTTGTCTTACGTTGTACTTCTTATATTTATATGCACAAATATTTCACGGTATTCATGTGTTAATCAGAACAAAACAATAACTTATTTGCATAGCAAGCTTGAAATTATGTCCTTCATATTTCCCGTTAGCTGCGAACACAGTTTGTAACAAATTAAATGAAACCCTATGGAAAGCTGTGATGTAGGCTGTTTGTTTTCTTAAAAGCATATTCAATTATCAATAATAATTCAACTACATTTGATGGATTGTGCTAACGTATAAGCAAAATATTTTTTGTATGTGCCCCTCACTGAAAAAAGTTTGGACACCCCTGCTGTAGAATAAATATTGGTATACACTCCCGGTGTGTAATAGTGCCTAATCAGAATCAGAATACTTCCCGGGGAAAATTTATTCTGTGAAATTACATTATAGAACCAAATAAAATAGAATGTGCAATAAAAGTAAATCAAGTTAAATATATTTCTATATACATCATAAAATGTATGATAGAAGATAAAAATAAAATAAATATTTGTTTAACATGAGAAGTTAAAGTAAGAATGTGATATGATTCCACAGAATACCGACTGTCTGCCCATCATACAAGCTGCTGATGAAGGGCCTCGGCAATCATCACTGCCTGATGCAAGAACGGCGCAATTAGTGTTTGAGCTGTGGCAATTGAAAATGCATTTAGTTGTCTCAAGGGTCGTTGGAGGTGCGTACTTAAGTGCAGTGATGTTGATGTTGAGCTTGTGACTTGCATTGTCAATGCTTTTTGCATCCTACACAGTGTGTGTGTACAGAACAAGGAGAGCTTTTTTACCTGACTGGAACTTTGTGTCGATCTCAGGCAATTATCTAATTAAATCCATCCAATCCAACTTATTTCTATAGCACATTTAAAAACAACATAGTTGACCAAAGTGCTGTACATCAATAAATAAATATATATATATAGATTTCCTTTGCTCCTCAGTGTTTTATATTTTAAAAAGAGCATCTACATTGATTATCTTGACTTTTAACAACTGTTCTCTTTGACGATTGAAGTTAACCTCATTAGAATTATAATGTAGCTGTGATGAAGAGTTTCCTACAGACGTACTGACCAGGTTCCATTGATTATGCTTTTCGTCCTCTTTGTGGAGGCCTGAAGACACATATTGTTTCTTTTTAATGTCCTTTTTTCTACGTGAAAGTAAAGAAAATCCTTATGCTCATTTTTGTTGTTTAACTTGCACTGCACAGCAGCTTTTAGTCATAATGAAACTACATGTTGCGGCTTCGCGCTATTGCTGTGTAGACCCGTAAAGTGGACAAGGCTGTCATTTTGCCAGGAAGTGAATTAACGCTGCTCTAATCTATAATCATTTGGAATTGGAATTGGAATTAGAAATGGAATTTGGAATTGGAACCTGGTATTGGAATGTGGAATTGGAATATGGAATTTTAATGTGGAATTGGAATATGGAATTTTAATGTGGAATTGGAACCTGTAATTGGAGTTTGGAATTAGAACTTTGAATTTAAATTTTAAATTTGAATTATAAATGGAATTTAAAAAATGTTGTAGGTATTTTTGATGAGACAGCTAAAATAAGGACTTTGATGACTTTTTCTAATTTTGTTCTATGACATGAAATATGTCTGTAAATCCCACTCAAGAATGTCTGAAGTTTATGTGTGACCGTGATGCAGCTGTTTTATAGCATTATATCAGCTTTTTACTTTTGAAGAGTGCATTTAAACTTCATAAATCACAAAAGTGATGTTGATATGTTGAGAATACCCTGCTAAACAAAACGTGTAAGTATCATAAAATGCTGTTTGCCACAGAACCCTGCAATATTTAAAAATTCATTGGAAAAATCCCATTACATTTATTGTGAAAGAACATCAAATAAAAAGATGACCAGTTTAGAAAAACATTTCTTGATAAAAACATTATAGAAACAAGTTTGAAAGTATGGATATCAAAGGCAAAAGCTTGTCTAAAAAATAAGTCTATGTCAAATAAAGACCTGACTCTCTGTAGCGAACACGCTTATGTGTACTGTGATGTCTTAATGATTTGTTCAAATGAAGCCCCCATAAGTAAAACCGTCTTCTGCAATCTTTCTATAATGGGTTTTGTAATGGTGCTGCAGTGCTCTCCATATGTTTGTCTCCAGCAGTGAAAACAGCTGGGGGGGGGCAGAAAGGAATTTGAAACTGAGAGCTCAATTAAAGCTTCTACTCTAGTCATGCTACAGTGATAGCTGTTTATTTCCTCCATGAGCCCTCTCACAGAGAGGGGGAGAGAGAGAGAGAGAGAGAGAGTAGGAGAGAGAAAAGGAGAGAGAGCGTGACCTTTACTTACCCTATCGATGCCTCATCACTCTCTCCTCATGCTCTCTCTCTGCCTTAAATGAACAATTCATCCTATATATCACCATTTTTTTGTGTCGGTTTGTGTTTGTAGGTCACCATTCCAAGTGCATTGTATCATTGCAACAGAATCATAAAACACTCACAGTAGGAATTGCCTGAGTCCCAGCCAGGTCAGATCCAGATATACTTGTCATAAGACTCAAACTGAAGAAAAGGAAGAAGAAGAAGGAGAAGAAGAAGAAGAACAACAACAACAACAACAAGACATGCTTTATTATTCACCTCGGGATAGTGAAACACAAGTTAAAAAATTTAAGATAAACCTTTGTTTACCTTTTTTGACTAGTGACCAGTAGCCAACTTTCCTCTCTCAAAAGCATAGGAAGAACAAGTGTTATGTTATTGTAGCACGTCAGAATGTTTGAGAAAAGAAG